CTCAGTTCCTCTCTGAAGCCACAGGTGCTGTCATGCCCTGAAAAATCAAACATTTGCAGGTAAAAAAGGAGCCAGGGTATGGCCTGGCCACCCAGAGATTGCAGACTGGTGCAGCTGCTCCTGGACTCGGGTTACAGCAAGACCAGATGGAGCTGGCATCAAGCAGTGAGGAGAGCTTACACCCTAAATTCTCTTCCCTGGAGCCGTGGGAGGAGTACAGGGCTCCTGCAGAAGAATGGCTTCCAAATTTCCCTTGATAATGCTCATAGTGTGGCTAAACCCAGGCTTTTCAGCTTTGGGGCTATTGGCATTTTGGGTGCACCAGCTCTTTGGAGTGGGGACTGCCTGGTGCACTGCAGAGGGTCTAGCAGCACTTCTGGCCTCTGTTCACTGGATGTCACAGCACCCTTCAACATGACAGTTACTGATGTATCCAGACACTACCAGAGATCCTCTGAGGCCGCATCTGTGAACTGCTTGCTTAATGTAGCCAGAAGCTAAGTATGTCCTGGTCTGTTCATCTTTATAGAACTCTCATTTGGTGCCCCAGGGAACAAGCTCAAGATACCCAGTGAATGCCCAAAACAGCACCCAATACTAAATATTGTTTTTTCCTATCCATGCATAGCTATAATAAAGTTTAATTTATGAATTAGGCTTTGTGCCAGGTATGGTGGTACGTGCCTATAATTCCAGCACTCTGATAAGACAGGAGGATTGCCATGAGTTTGAGGCCAACCTGCGCTACATATTTAGTTCAAGACCAGCCTGAACTACAAAGCAAGACCTGGTCTCAAAAATAAACAAACTATGGGCTGGTGAGCGGACTCAGTGGTCTAAAGCACCTATTTAGAACAAGCTAAGCTAAGCAAAGCACAGGGATCGCAGTTCAATCCCCCAGCACCACATGCCAGCCAGCCCCGCCCCCTGGTGGGCTGAACTGGCCACACACAAAATAAATTAAACTTTAAAAAAAATAAACAAACTAGGCATAATGAGAGAGTAACAACAATAAGTATGTGCAATAGGACATTTATAAAAATATAATATGATAAAAGATACTTAAGGGACCAGTGAGATAGCTCATCTGGAAGTGAACTAAAGCGCCTGCTTAGGCAAGCGCAGGGATTGTGGTCCAATCCCTGGCACCACATGCCATGCCCACTCTGCCTCCATGGTGGGCTGAGCCGGCCAGAGTCTGGGCCTAGTGGTGTAGGCTTGTAATCCCAGTGCTGGGGAGGCTGAAAGCAGGAGGATCACCATGAGTCCGAGCTGCGTAGTGAGACCCTGCAACAGCCAAATTCATAAAATTAAAAAATTAAAAAAAAAAATTTAAAAGAAAGATACTTAAGGGTCCAGGGAGAGGGCACAGTGGAATAAGTGCTTCCCTGTCAAGACGGCTCTGAGGGCTGGTGAGATGGCTCAGTGGTCTAAAGCACCTACTTAGAACAAGCTTAGCAGAGCACAGGGACCGCGGTTCAATCCCCCAGCACCACATGCCAGCCAGCCCCGCCCCCTGGTGGGCTGAGCTGGCCACACACACACACACACACACACACACACACATAAAAAAAAAAAAAAAAAGGACGGCTCTGAGTTCAATCCCCGGTTCCACAAAAAAAAAAAAAAAAAAAAAGAAAAAGAAAAAGAAAGATACTTCCTGAGGTAGGAGTGCAAGTTGGAGCCCAGCCTGAGCAAGTAGGCTACACCCTGCTATAAAATAAAAATAAAGAAGGGTGAGGATCTTGTTCAGGTCAAGACTTTGAGTTTAGCTCCCAGTACTGCAGACCAAACAACCATGAATTGTGTATTTCTGGATATTCCCACGTAATATTTCTACACTGTGGTTGGGTAACTGAAACTGCGGAAGGCAGAGCCACGGATTGGAGGGAAGGTCCTCTGCTGCCTTTGAGAACTTGAGGAGGACGTGTGGGGTGTGGGCTGGGTAAGGATGGCAGCAGCACCCCTGTTGCCAGGGGACACACTTCCTATATTCCGTTTAATGGAACCACTGCTGACCTTCTTCGTGGTGTCCCCTTGAGATGATACACAATAGCCTCTCAAACCTACTATGGCTGGTTTTCTCTCCAGCCCCAAACTCGCCCTCCAAGTCCCTCTCACTTCAATCTTCAAGCTGTCAGGGCCGCAAACTAGGGAATCCAGGCGTCTCCTCCCTTTCGAATCCCACACCCAACCCATCAGCAGCTCCAGGTGGCTTCAGTAAGCCAGTCACCTGGCCAGCGGTCTTCCGGCTTCTCCACCACCCTCCTGCAGCCCAGCACCCGCACCGCAGCCAAGGGCTCTTGCTTAGATGTGTGATCATTGCTCTGCACTCAAAACTGCTGCCCACAGGTGTCTCCCTAGGGGTAAAAGCCACACTCCTAAGGCAGCAGTCCCCACACCTCCTTCCTCACTCATTCTGCTTCTACCGCACCTGTTTTCTTGATGTTCTCTAAACAGACCAGCGCGGCCCAACCCCAGGGCTCTGCGAGGCTGTTCTCTCCGCCTAGAGAGCTTTTCTTCTGGAGTCCTACACATGTAACCTCCACTTTCTTCAACTTAGTCTTCAGTATTCTAGCACTTTCCTGATTGCTCTGTAAAACTACATGTGTTCCTCGCATATCCGATTCCCACATACCTTCTTATTGTCTTACAGAACTGAGCACATTCTAACAAACTGTACCATTTGCTTATTTGTTGTGGTACTGTAACTCTCCTCTTCCAAACAGACTGTACGTCATGTTTGTCCCCTGCACTGAGATCCGGTGCTCAGAGCAGTGCCTGGCAAGGAGCAGCTCCTCAGTGAGTATTTTCTTTTTAAATGTAGGTAGTACAGGTTCTACCAGGTCTCACTATGTAGATCAGACTCATAGTGATCCTCCTGTTTTCAGCCTCCCAAGTGTTGGGACCACAGGCGAGCACCACCACACCATCTCAGTCACCAGCTCAGCGTGCCCTGGGGGCAGGGCTGGCACATGTTGGGGATCGAACCCTGGTCCCTGTGCCGGGCCAAGGAGTGCTTTAGTCCACTGAGCTACCTAGCTGGCTGTCAGTATTTTCTGAATGAATGAAAAAATAAATAAGCATTAGTTGAATTTTTTTTCTTTCTTTTGAAGGGGAAATAAAAATGGAAGAACATTTGGGGAATGGTAACGGAGAGCAGATGAGGGCTGAGTCTTTGAAAGGACAAGCTTGAACCGGTCTGATCGCAGAGCTATGCGTAACTGAGAGCAGCAGCACAGAAAATCTGAAAATACAGATAATCTAGTATCTTTGTTTCAACTCCATTACATGAAGTCATGGTTGATTCTTCTTCCTAAGTAGCAGCGTGCATGCAAGATGTGTGTGTGGGCGCACACGCGCGCGTGCATGCGTTGGGGGGGTGTGTGTGTACATACCAGGTGGTCCAGACAGAATGAAGGTGAAATTGGAAATTGCTTTAAAATTATTCACAGCCTGGACACTTTCATTCCCAGAGGTAGTTAACAGGTTACCTACATTAGACGTGCTGAGTTTGACTACAGATTTCCCTGTGGCTCGAACTTCAGAGGGTCCCACAGTGTCATGGTTTGTGTCTAAGTGTCCCCTCAAAGCCTCTTGCAGTCATGGGGTGGACTACTAGAGCTTGTGATTAACTCATGATTCACAGGGATTACTGGTGTGAGTGCTGCTGGGATTATGGGTGTGAGTCGTACACCCAGCCTGGGGCAGAGAGCCTGAATGCAGTTTAAGGGAGACAGACTTGCTCTCTGTGACCGCTGTTGCCGCTACTCCTCCTTTTGCTCTCTTGCTGTCTGCCACCACCACGAAAGGCTGCTCTCTGCCACGTGCCACTCTGCCTTGGAGCCAGCTGAGTATGGACTGAATCCTCCAGTAACTGTCAGCTAAATAACCTTTCCTTTCCTAATTTTGAGAATTGGGTATTTGTCCCAGCAACGAGAGAAGAGTAACTGAGACACACAGTTCACTGAAAATTGCCCAGAATCTGAGCTTCCCACAGATGTGGGTTCCGTGGGCTTCTGTGGATCTCTAATCCACCCATGTATGGTGCTGAGCAAGGCTGTGGAGTAGGACTGGGCCCACCCCAAGGTGGTCATGGGGATTAACGAGGGGACCAGTACCTGAAACCCCTGGGACTCAGAAGAAAGTTCAGGCATTATTCACGGTTGCAAGAAGAGACCCCTTTTCCTCTCTGCCGAGGTACGAACTATAAAGTGACCAGCCTTCTTGCTAAGGAGAAGAATGCTAGCTTGGGGAGAAAGCAACAAACAGAAGATAGAACTGAACCAGAAACATTGTGCCAGGGCTGGGGATGTAGCCTGGCAGCACAACGCCTCCTCGGCAAGCACAAGGTCCTGAGTTTGATTCTTGGTACAAAAAACCAAGTTGAGCTATAATGCCAACCTTGCGAATCTCTGGATCCCACCCGACACTCGCTGTTTTTCCCCTCCTCCCTCCAGTCTCTTCATATACACTGTGTACCCCATACACCAGCATAAGCTGGGCCACCTTACACACAACAAAAGGCACCTTGATGTCCACTCTCTGTAGCTCCCCCTCTGCTTCTCATGGATGCTGATGCGTCCCAACTGGACACACGGTTCCATACACGTGGACCTGGATGCATTTCAGCATCCTAAGGAACTCGACGTGGTTATTCATCTGATGCCCCATCCCTCTGGCACTACTAAAATTAACAAACAGTAGTGGACAAGCTGCTCAGACCTGGATCCCATTTCTCCAGCAGTGTTTATTGCTGGTCATTCTTACTAGCTTGCAGTGCTGGGGATCGAACCCAGGGCCTTGTGCATCTAGGCAAGCAGTGATCAATTAAATTTCTGAAAGTGCCTGTGTGACTCCCCACCCCACAGCAGGCTGGAGGCTGTGGTGCCCCCACCAGCCTGGCCTGGCTGTAGCCTCACACCCAAGGGCCAGTGCTCACCAGAGGACAGCCGGCCTGGAAAGATGCAGGGTCAAGAAACTCCAATAGGCCTTTCCTTATTTATTAGATTCCAGATACATGGGATCAGGATGGAAGAGTCCTAGGGTGTGTGATTTACAGGGGTCTTCAGGAGAACATAGACGGGGTGACACGGCAACAAGGGACTGCCATTTAAAAATATATACATCTTGAGAAGCCATTCCAGCTGTATTAGCATCATTACAAAATAAAGCCATCTTTTCACACAGTGCTTTTCTTTGGTGTTCAGTGGGGCTGGACCCTGGGCCCTTCCATCTTTTGGTCACAACTTTTTACTGTGGCCTTTGTCACTTCTCCTGTCTGGCCTGGGGAGGAGAGTCTGGAAAGGTGCCCAGCACAGAGGGGCCCCTGCACCACCTCCTAACGCTTCTCCACAAGCCTTACTCAAAAGTGTTGAACTGTAGCCTGGGAAAACATCAAAGCCTCCTATGAACACACTGGAGACAACCTCAAGCGCGTGCATGATAAAGCCATCTGGAGCCTTAGAAAGGACAGGGTGGAGGGGACCAAACAAAATCCAGCGAGCACCACCTTTCTCTGTGGTTGGATTTATGTTTATTTCCTGGTTTGCTTCAAATGACCAGTAGCATGAGTGTACAACTGAGAAGGGACGTTTCCTCTTTACAGATCTTTCAGAAATGGTGGATGGGGTGGGGGTGGCTAAACTTGGGTGTTGTTTGGGGTTGCAGGGTCTTCTAACTCTCCTTCCATCCATTCTAGTCAGTGCCCTGCCCTCCCTATGGAGACCCCCCCCACCTGGATTCCCACTAAGCAGCTGGCCCTACCCTCTGCCCCAGATGCCCAGCAGACCCAGGGCCTCCTCACAGCACAGTTCCCAGCGGTACCAGGGGCAGCTCCCCCATTGCTTGTCACAGCAGTTCCACCTCAGGAAATGGAGCCCCTCCTGCCAGGAGGAGCTCTAACTTGGGAACTTGGGGAAATATCAGACCCTGGGAGGCAAAAACGCCGCGTGCAAGGCACCCACCACTCCCAGGATCCCCACTGCAGGCACCAGCTGGGCCCATCACTGCTGGCACTGATGGACAATGCTGAGGCACAAAGTGACACCACACAGCAGTGTGAAATGCCACCCTCTGCCCCTTCCTGGGGGTACATGGTGCAGTGAGGCAGGGCACAGAATAGAACCCAACTACTCTCACTAGGATTCTTCAGAGCCGCCCCTCAGTTGAGGACCTGAGAGATTATGTGAGATCAGAGGTTTACCCCGGGCCTCCCAACTCCCCAAGATGCCTTTGCCCTGACTGTGTCTAACCACTGGGATCGGAGGCAAGGGGCATTGGGGCAGCATGGAGAGCTAGGGGATGGGGCATGGGGACTCTATAGTGTTGATTTATCCAGTGACTCAGGCCTCAGGCAAAAAGGGGGCTCTGGGAGGGGCTCTCCCAGAATGCTCCTAGCAAATCCCAGCGGATCAGGCCATGCAGTTGCTGGGGGTTATCGGGTCAGGTAGGGCAGGCCAATAGAGCGGCTTCCCGCGGGAACCCCGTAGGGACCCAGGGGCCAGGACCCAGTGCGTCCCTGGAGCACTGACCCAGGGCCAGGCGCGAGCTGTGCCTCAGAAGATGGCAAGGGCACTTTCCATCCCAGACTGAACCCCCTTCGTCCCCAGGGATCCTCCCTGCTGCCAACCCATAAGCACCGATGGGAATACAGAACTACCCTGGAGTGGTGAGAAGTGGCTTCACGGCCCCCCACAACAGTGGGGTGAGCATCTATCCCACACACCCGACGTGTTTCCTGGGATGCAGAATGCCCCATGTGAAAACCAGGGGCAGAACTGGATGGCGGTGACCACAGAGAGGCCAGAGGCTTGGGCCCCGCCCAGGCAGCTACCACCACAGCTCTGCCAGCAGATGCTCCCTGCTTCTTTGGATTGCAGTGAAGGGGGCCTCTCCTCACTTCTTCCTCCCACCAAGTCAGTGTTCTGCCCTCCCCAAGGCACCAGATCCCACTACCTGAGGACAACATAACCAGGCGGCAGGACTCCCCTGCTCCCTACTCTGCAGCCAGGCCTCTCTATGCTCGGTGTGTGCTGCTGGGGCCTTTCCCCAGCCTGCTAGACCTTCCCATGGCTGCTGGCCTTGAACAAGAGCCTCCGTGTGTCCCTGGATGGGGCCAGGTCTTGGAACATCCCAAGGCCCCGGGGTTTCTGGGGACCAGACTGGACCGACTCTTTTTGGAGCCAGCACACCAGTGTGTCCAGGCCTAGATGCACAGTGGCTGGCAGATGCCCCGGTGTAAGCCCTGAGGTAGGGGAGGGCCTCGGGGAAGTGGGGATGACAGAGGGGCACTGGGGCAGCAGTGAGGTCTGGTGGGACAGCACCGAAGAGTGGGTACCCAGGAAAACATGGGAGCTCTGGCTGCTACTCCCTAAGGTGTACCGGGCTGGGAGCTGAACATGTGTAGGGCTGAGAAGGGACAGATCCATGTGGACTGCAGAAGGTAAGGGGCCTCTTGAGTGCTCCAGAGGACACAGGCAGGCAGGGCCCTGGGAAAGAGCTGCCCAAGACCCTGGACGACCTGCCCTCTGTGGAACGGCACCCCCAGGTGGCGTCGAGGAGTTGTCACAGTCTGGTGCACCCAACACTGCCCATCTAGGCTGTGGACAAGCAATGGGTCAGGAAACCCGCTGCTTCACACTGGTCTGGTGGGGTAGCAGGTGCTTCCTCCCGGGGTCTCCAGTGTCAAGGGGAGTCAGCCCAGGCCCAGGCCTCAGAGCAACCCATGGAGAAGGAAAAATGTACCAAAGTAAAAGCAGGTGACAGATGAGCCCATGCCCTGCCCCCACCCCTGCACCCAGGAGTCTACACACACAGCCGGAGGCAGAAGTCCCTTGCTCTGGAACCACACAGGGGTCGGAGGTCGAGGCTGGAGGCAGCAAGTCTCCACGCTGGTCCATCATCCGTAGGTCCGTGCGCTGGGCGGGCCGTCAGACCTTGGCCTCCAGCATCTCCAGGAAGAGTTTGTGCATGGGTACCTTGCCCTGCAGCTTGACGCTGTAGAAGTGCTGCACGGCCTTGGTGGCCGTCTGCCGCAGCAGGGGCAGCGTCAGCAGCAGCTTGCCCATCCTCCGGGGCTCCTCGTGGTGCTGGCTCAGCTCGTGGTCCTGCAGCGCCTCGTGCAGCAGATCCTGCAGCTTCTGCACGGCCTCCGGGTCCTCAATGTACATGGAATCTGTGGGCACAAAGTGGGCTAAGTGCTGGCTAGTGAGAAGGGGTAGAGACTGGCAGGCATGTGGGGCTGCCTTCGAACCCTCATGTCACAGAGCAGAGCCAGGCTCAGGGAGGTCACAGAGGCTGAGGACAGAACTGAGGCTCAGACCCCAGGAAGGAGGCGCATCTATGGAGAACCTTTCTCAGGAGTCTACAGAGAGGAGGTGGCAGAGACAGGGTGGGGCTACACCCAGGCGGAACTGTGCAGGTGGGCCATGAAGCCGTAGGTAGAGATGGACCCCGCCGTGCCTCACTTGCTGTGTGGCTTTAGACAACTTCACTTCTCTATGCATTGTCTTCCTCATTTGTGAACCCGAGAGTTACCCAGGTTGAGGGCCTGGAAAGGCACGAGGGGCGGCAGGCTCAGCCCCCACCGCCATCACTCTACAGAGCACTTCCACTGCGACCTCCCTCCCGGCTGTTGCCAGGCACGGCTCCCCCAGGCTGTGCTGCCCTCCTGACCTCACAGTTCTGGTTATAGACAAAGGAGTGGAGCTCTCCGCTGGGGTGCCCTGAGGTAGGGACCTTGGGGCACGGTGGTGGACTCAGCCACACAGCAGCACCTTCTCTAAGATCTTGGGGGCCAGGTACAGCAGGGTAGGACAGAGCAAGCACTTGCCTGGTGTGTTTGGCCCTGGGTTCGATCCCCAGTAATGCGTATATATTGGGGAGAGCTCTGATTCGGCCATGAATGGGTCTGAAGGAAATTTACCAAATCTCAGAGGAGGGAGGCACCCAGGGAATCACAGTGGGCCTGAGCCAAACAATGTAAAGAGAATGCAGCCTCCCAAGAGGCTACCCTCTGGGAGAAACTATAAAGACTTCTGACTTAAGGAGCTGCTGCTCCAGGCGTGTTCTCAGGGAGGTGCACAAACTAACTGAACACCTCTTTTTTTTTTTTTCTTTTTTTCCTTTCTTCTTGGTTGGCTGAGATGGAAGGCTGCTAAAAGCAGCTGCACCAACTGGCTGCCTCCAGGGACCCCCGACCCTCTCTGGGCCTCCACCACACTAGGCCCACACCTCCGAGGCTGCTGCCTCTTCCTCTAGAGTAGGGGATAGCAGAACAAGGTACAAAAGCATTGAGAGATACCCTGCGACTTCAGCCAAGTCACTTAGTCTACCTGAGGCTATCTCCTCATCTATAAAATGCAGCAAATACAGATGCGTTCTTACAAGGTGGTGGCGACAGTTAAACGAAACAGCACTGTGCTAGGCATGCAGGAAGCACCCAGTAAATGCTTTTTATTACTATTACTGTGGGGACTCAGCCAAGGGATAATGCCCTTGCAGGTGGGGGTGATACCAGTTCTACACCCAAGTGTCCTTTAATTTTTTTTCCTCTGCTGCCAAGCCAGCGAGGATTCCTCCTTTGCCAACTACACTCTGCCATTTGCTGTGTGCGCTCAAAATGTGGCCGTCCCTGCTAGGCTGGGCCCCAGCCCAACCCCACCCCCACTTTCCCCAAGGAGGCCAAAATTGGCAGGCGCCTTCGACCAAAAATGAAATAAAATAACACTGCAAGATTAATTTCTTCACAATCCATCAGCAAGTCTGTATTGATGGCATTGATAAACTGTTAATTACAAAATCAATGGCTATGAATTTTTTCTGCTGTCAGAAGGGTCTGCAGAAGGCTGGGCTGCAGGGTGAACGGTGGCAGGCAGGCTGGTGGAGACCGAGGCCCAGGGCCGCAGCCTGTCTCTGACGAGCTCACCCCTCTGCCTGGCATGCTCTGCCCCAGGTGCCTGAAAGCACGTGGTCACCCTGCGTACTCAGCCTCAGCAGCAGCACTGACCTCTAGCCTCAGTGCTGCCCACGACCCCCCCTCACCCTGGCCAACACGCTCCCCCAACCAGCTACAGCGGCCAGTACCCCACTGCCTCCGGGCTCAGTGTGCTGACCCCGCCCACTTGCCTTCCCGGCATGCTCTAGCCGCTCTTCTAGCCACACCCCAGGCTGCTCCAACCCTGGCCCGGCCTCTGAGTGTTCCTCCACAGAGCTTGCTTCGGAATCTCCTGCTCAGCTAACAGCTCCTCCTCCGGGGGCTCTACACAGCTTTGCTCCAGCTGTGCCCACACTGACAGCATGGGCTCCTTCCAACTGCCCCTCCCTCAGGCCACCCAGATAGGCCTGGCAGAGACAAGCAGAAGCCCCAAGAAGGAAGACGGATCTGGGGCAGGCGCTATGCCCAGTGTTTTGGGTGCATCACTGAGTATTTTCCTTTATAATGAGGTGTGATTCTCCGTATTTCAAAGATGAGCACTGACGCTCAGGGAGGTCAGGCTGCCTGACACTTAGCAAGCAAGGAGTAGAGGGAGGACTTGAACCCAGGTCTGGCTGACCATGAGGTTCACACTCTAAGTCTCTGCAGGGCCGACTAAAGTGCTTCCCTCTGAAGACGTGAAGCACAGGCAGGTGATGCTCTTCCGCATGGTGTCACGGTGGAGAAAGAACATTGCATTTTGTCAAAATCCACAGATGGGTACAACATAGTGTGAGCCCTAATGGCAATTGTGAGCTTTAGTTAAGAATAATCCATTAATATCAGCTCCCTAATCAACAAATTACTCTAAGAATGCAAGACATTAAGAGGAAACTGCACTGGCGATGGAGTACAGCATGGAGTTCTATAAACTATCTGTTACTCTGTAAATCTAGAACTACACTTAAGTGAGGATAAACCCCAAAGCAGTTTTAGTTTTCTCCAATAGATGTCATAATTTTAGAATCTACAACTATAAATGATCTCTCTAGAAGTCTGTGACTTTGTATTAGTGTGCATTCATTATTATTAATAAAAAGCAATTGGATAAAACAAAATGTTTCTTTCTGTGTGTTGGGTTAGACTCCCCGGGAAGAGCCGTGCCAGGAATCTGAGTCCAGGGACTGCTGGAGGCTGGGCGCTCAGGACAAGGGGGGTGGGCAGGAAGCTCAGGGAAACCACGGCCTGAGCCCATGCAGAGCTCCGCGCCACACACCTGCTCCCGCAGGCCCATCCTCAAGGCTGACAGAGTCTGAGGGCAAGTCAGCTGTGAGTAGCTGGTAGCACAACTCAGAAGACGGGGACAGGAGCACCAACTGGTAAAGGGGAGCGTGGGGCATCCGCAGTGTTTCTTGGATGTACCATGAAGCCCTGTTAGGGTGACCCACTGGCCTGGTTTGGCAGGTACTGAAGGGTTTCCTGAATCCTCCTAAGACTGTCGATAAAAGACAGGCAGTGTGGACCAAACCAGCAGGCTACCCTGCGTGAGGTCCACTAGCTGGACTTTGTTTCTTTTTCTTTTCTTTTTTTTTTTTGGTAGAACTGGGGATTGAACTCTGGCCCTTGCACTTGCCAGGGAAGCGCTTATTCTACTGAGCCATCTCCCCAGCTTTGTTTCTGCAAAGACTCCTAACAATGCTATGGAGGATCGCCCCAGGCCAGGCACTGGGCTAAGGACTTCAGCTTCAATCAATCCTCAATACTCAGAACGCCTGAAGAAGCTTATCAGCGTATGCCATCACACACACAAGAGCAATGATGACCAAGATCTTGATCAGAGATGGAATGGAACCTGGATGGATGTGACCCGCTGTTGGAGGACCTGCGCCCTTGGGCAGGGACCCTGCATTTCTCCTGCTCCCCCAGCGCTCAGCTCAGTACCCTGCACCCTCTGGAGGCTCTGGGTGGGCAGAGATCACACTCCAGTTCATTCACTCACACCCCCAATGCACAGCCCCATGCCCCAGACAATGCAGCCAGGGGCTGGCGGATATTTAACAAATGGAGGAATCATTCATGTTCTTAGACCCAAGCGATGTGACTGAAAGATGCATGGAGCAGGGACAAGCTTGGGTTCACCTTGGAATACAGTGGGGTTCAGCCCTAACTCTCAGTTTTTAACCATGGGACTCCAGAGCTGTACCTGTTGGGTGCCCTGAAGCTCGCCCTCTGCCTTCCACCTGCAGGGCCGACTCTGCCCTTACCTGAGTTGGCAAGAGCCAGGGCCTTGAGCGTCACGAACTCCTCCTTCTCCACCTTGAGCTTCTTGTACCTGCGCACCAGCTGCAGAATGGCACGGTAGAGCTCCAGCAGCCCTGCCAGGCGCGAGTGCTCCTCGTCCATGATGTAGTCCTCAGCGTACACCAACTTGTCGTCATAGGGCAGCGAACGGTACACAATGCCCAGGATGAGGATCTCCATCCAGGCGCTCTGCAGCAGGTTCATCTGGTCTCCCAGCGAGAGACTGGAGAAGCCTGGAGGGGGGCAGAGAACAAGGAAGCCAGCACAGTCAGGAGGTGGGTGGGCAGCAGGGGCGGGCGGTGCAGCTGGTCTTCCCCTGTAGAGTGAGCTAGATGTGGAACTCACGGGAAAGATTTACATAAAAGAGCTCAGTCAGTGCTGACAGTTGTTATTATCACTGCGATTGTTAGTTGCTGGGTATTTTTCACATGTCTAGAGAGGTGTCATGATTAATTAAATGCTTCTGTAATTTAAGAGGTACTGAAAATTCATAGTCGAGTCAGGAGGCAGCTGTACAGAGTCCCTTCTACTCTAGGAGTTCCCAGGCTTTCTCAAACCAAGGTGTCAGGAGCATTTTGTGCTTTAAAATGATACCTGAGTCTGTCTATGAAGTCGCAGCTTTCAGAGACCCATGGCCAACCAGGAAAGACCCAGCCACCCCCAGCAGTGAGGCCACTGGAGGTCAAAGCCCTTCCCGGCACTTTCTCTCACGGCAGCCTTTTGCTGACAGGCCAGACACCCACCAGACCACCTCTGGACATCGCTTCCTGATGACCCAGCAACTCTGTTCTGGGAGCTGGGGATCAATGGGGTTTCCCTCCCTGCTTACAGGATGCTGGCTCCACAATGAAAAGGGGCTGTGACAAGGAAGGAGCCAGAACGCTAACGCTGACTCGCTGAATCATCGAAGTGCTGCAGTCAGGCGCAGGCCCTGAGCCCAGCGCCCCATGTACTGACTTCCTCTGACCTTATGGAAGCCACGAAACTGCTCCAAACCTCACCTTCCTCAGCTATGAAACGGACACACTGGAGGCAAAGAGGTAAGGTCTGCCTGAGTCAATGATGACCACAAATGAAGACGGCATGCTGGAATTGCATTATATGTCTACTTAGTTTAGTACTTAGCTTGACTTACAAGACAGCAAATAATCTGATTGATGTTCGAGCATCTTGACCACTAAACACACAGCAGGGACTTCACTGGGGACTCAACCCCAAGCAGGATGACTGAGTCCAACACTGACCACGCTACCTTTGGCAGGAGGAAGAGTGTCCACAGAGCTCTCTGCACCACACATATGAGGAACTAAACAGACTTCTGCAGGGTGATTCTGCCCCGGAAGAAGCTTGCTCACTTAGAAGCCCCCCGCCGGGCTGCTACTTGCCAACGGGGGTGGGGGGATGACGAGTGTATATGTGGCACTGGCAGCTCCCAGGGCACAGCGATGGCATGTGCGAGGCTCCGTGGTGGTCACCATGCTGCTGCTGCGCTCTGCCCCGACTCTCAGCTGCTGTCCTCTGTCCCTCTCTGTTTGCCATCCAGGGCAGTACCCCAACCTGCGCTGTGTTCCTGGGACACTGGGCAGAGTGCCCGTGTCCTCTGCCTTCCTAATGCGGTCACCACGGCTCTGATTCCACCAGGGCAGTGGAGGCCCCCGATCTCTGCTCGCTGCTGGAAACCACACGTGGCCCACCAGGGCCAGAAGGACGGTACCTGTGGGTGCAGGGAGCCCCGGGAGGTGCTTGTTCTGGAGGGAGAGACTGTGTGTGTGGCTGTCCATATTCCTGGCACAGGAGAAGGTGCACAGCCGCCCAGGGGGGTGGGGGAGCCGGAGGTAATAAAAGATAGATAGAAATGGACATCCAATTTCCCTTATCAGGTCTCTGAGTTGGAGAGAGGCCTTGGGCAACATTAATTAACAGATACCAATCAGCTGGCATGGAAGGACGGGGGAGGGGTACTGGACCACACAGGGAGGGGGTGTGAGAGCAGACGGACCAGGAGGGAAGCGGGAGGAGGGCAGTGGGGGGTAAAATTAACAGAGCACCAAATCAGGAGATGCCGGAGAGGGAAGGTGAGGCAGGAGAAGCAAGAGAAAACACCTATGCGCGGTGATGCACACAGGTAGGATCCTTACAAGGGTATCACCAGTGTGCTTCTGTCCCTTTAGTCAGTCTGATACATATTTACTGAGCACCCACTAAGTGCCAGCCCCATGCTAGGTACAGGAACACGTGTGTTAAGCAGGATCACCCCCAGCCTTCAGGAGCACACAGTGTAGAACACGCTCCAGGTCACCAAGTGTCACAAATCAGCACAAAGTTGTTATGATGGTGAGAAGAGCCACAGCTCTGAACATGCATGAAATGGGGATGTGTCCCAAAGGTCAACCAGGAGGCTTTGCAGAGGAGGCACTCGGGGGGCTGAGCTCTGAAGCTGGGAGTTGAGGGTGGCACTAGCCGGGAGCTCCCAGGACACCGGGCTGTTCCCAAGAAGGACCCAGAGAAGTGTTCACAGCAGAGAAGGGACAAATACCACAGGCCCAGGCTCCCAGGAGACAAGCAGTGTGCCCAAGGCACAGGATCAAGTCAGAGCAAGAGATCAGCTGTGTCCTGTGGTGGTGACAATGGCGGGGGAGGGGCAGGGCTTGGGAAGCCCTGTGCTGCCAAAGGAGGTGGCTGCAGTCCCCTGCCAGGCTGGGGTGAGCACTGTGCTCTGCTCAACCCCAGGTCCTCCCAACCAATCCAAACAGATGCCCCAGCACGCTGATCTGCGTACACAGGCTGTTTTGTTTTGTGCGATGGAGCCTGTTCTCCATCTCCAATATATACAGAACTAAGTCTGATGTTTACTAATACATGAGAAAGGGACACTAGAAAAAATGAGAAACAAACGTGGCTCCCTCTGGGAGGGGCTAGGGACAAAGGCAAGCTATCTGTGCAGACATTTCTGTCTACTTTTGGATCCTGTTGATGTCTAAGATGTTTAAAAATAAATCATAACTATAACGCTCCAATTTAGCAATGCCGCTGCCAGCCAGCAATGTCCCCCAGGAAGAAATGTATGCAAAAGATAAATGCAAAAGGCTGGTTGGATCACGGTGTGAAATGACCCAAAACAGAAAATAACCTAAACATAACTCATGGGACACAAGGAATTATATAAACACCAATGTTTAGCTGAACGAATGGCACATTAGAAATTGTCAGAAAGGGGCCAGAGAGATAGCTCAGTGGAGTAAGTGCTTGCCTGGCCAAGTGCAACTTCCTGAGATTGATTCCTGGTACCACAAAAAAAAAAAAAAAAAAAAAAAAAAAAAAGAAAGAAAGAAAGAAAGAAAGAAAGAAAGAAAGAAAGAAAGAAAGAAAGAAAGAAAGAAAGAGACTACCAGAAAGAAGAATGAAGTACAACTGTTTCATGGGTGGGCAAAGAAGCCCAGCAGCAGAGGGAGGACACTGGTGTTAGGAGCAGACTCCAGGGTCAGACCGCCAGGACCCCTTGCGATGACCGTGGGCACTTCTGCACCGTGGGCTTTGTTCCCTCCTCTGTACAATGCGAACAATGATGGCACTGTGCTCATGGGGCTGTTCCGTGAGCCCACACGTGAAGCACTTCCAACCCTGCTGAGCGCGTAGGACATGCTCTTACCTTTGCTAATTAAGAGGAAAGGTACACGACGAACAGTGTTAAATTGGGGCAGTAGGGCTTGCCTGTAACCCTGACCCTCGGGAGGCTGGGAGGCAGGAGGTCCATCACGAGTTCAAAGCCTGGGCAGCACACTGAGTTCAGAGCCAGCATGAACTACATAGCCAGGCAGTCTCAAAAGAAAAAAATAAAAACTACAGAAGCACACACAGTGGTTGTACATGCACAGGAGATTATCAGAGGGATGCTCGGATGGGGGCAGGTTTGGGAGGCTGCCCCATCTGTCTGACATCTCTAGAAGCATTGTTATCTTTTTATTTAAAAAGCAAAGGTGCCAAAGCACTCCTCCCAGCCCTTCAGGAAAGCACGGTTCCCTGATGCTGGTGGCCTCGCCTTCTTCACAGATTAATAAGGGCTACTGGGGCAGTGAAGCCCTTGGATGGGTATGGCGCTGCCCAGGCAAGGTCCTGGCTGTCCAGCCTCTCACAGGAGTTCTGGGCCCCCAGGAAAACTTTACCTGCACTAGCAGATCTAATAACTACCACACAGGCCCTACCCAAGTCCCCAGCCCCCAGTGGTCTGGCACCACAAGCGCCAAGAGTTCAAAAAAAAGAAAAAAGAAAAAAAAAAAAAAAAAAGGCACATAATTTGTGGCAAGTGGAGTTCATAATCTGTTAATTTATGATCGTCTTTGCCGACCTGGAGGGCCATTAGAGAGGTAATAAAGGGAGATGTAATTATAGGATCTGCGGCCACTTCAGACACAGCTGCTGTCACTCGGCAGCTCATCTTTCATTCAACCAGAGGGTGGTGGCTACCTAGAAGCAGGTCAGCTGGGGGGCCTAGGAGAGGCGGCCTCTGAGGCACCCTGCAGGTGGGGCCTGGGCCGGTCAGCAGTGGTGGGGACTCCCTGTGCAGGTGCTCCAGGTCAGATGGACTCCAGGCCACTGAGAGGGAGAGACCCAGCTAACACTGGGGGGCTGCAGCTCATCAGGGGTTCTCCCGCCTGTCAAGGGCTGCTGGCTCTCACTCTAACCCCAGAAGGCGCCTGCTGCACTGAGCAAATCACAGCCTGCAGGGAGACCATGGAACTCATCTTTGTTCCAATGGGACCGCCAAGGGCAGAAACTGATCTAGAGTCGTTCCTCTCCTGTGGAGTTTTGCTAAGGCTCTAGTTACCTGAAGTCAACCAAGGTCTGAAAATATTAAGTGGAAAATCCCAGAAATAAATCAGTTTAAAATTGTGCAGCAATTTTGACCCAAATCCTGGGTCATGATGAAATCTCATGCCGTCACGCTGTCCTGCCCAGCCACGAATCATCCTCTGTGTTCAGCGTGTCCACACGGTATCTGCTACCCACCCATGGCTCACTTGGTAGCCACATGGTTATTCAGCCAGCTGTCAGTTTTGCAGCGCATGTGTTGCAGTAACCTTCATTTCTCTTAGTAATGGACCCGCGAACACAAACGTACCACTGCAAAGGAGACACCTGGGAAAAACCACCAAAGGACAGACTGCTTCTGTCAGTAGGTGGCGATGCTGCAGGGCATGCAGGAAAACCGTTTACACAGAGGACTCAGGCATCGGCACCTACCCAAGGTTCCAGGCATCCGCTGGGAGTCTTAGAACATGCCCTTCACAAACAGGGGGCGCTCGCTCTGACTCGTCTCCGCCACAGCTTTTAGCCTCCGCGAGGCTCTAGACACACTGAGTGTTCTCTGCACACAGAGGCAAGTTCGTAGGGCCCTCCGTATACCACAGGAAGGCCCTGGAACGTAAGACACCGTCCTCGCGCTAAGGATGGTGGCCTCCTCAGAGCTCTAATCTGGAGCTGTCTGAAGTGGCCAGTCCCCCTTCTCTACAGATCCAGAATGGACAGGAGCCAGCAGGGTGGGCCCTAGCTCTGTGTTCCCTGTCAGCCAGCCTTCTCTCTCCCTCTTCCTCTCCCAGGGCCGCTGAACCTGTCTGCAGATGAGCTCAGCGTCTACTGAGATGGGACTAGGTTGATTTGTTTAAAAATATGAGGCACTTGATATGTCATCGCTCTTAATAGGCGGTTTACACACAGTGGCAGGAGATTCCATTAATTAATTTTACCTTCAACACTAGAAGGTCAGGCCCAAATAATTCGGCATGCAGATTTATGCAAAACAGGCAAATTACAATCTGAGACAGACAAAGGAATTCAGCTTTGGATGAAGAGAAATGATAGTGGAAAAGGCTTTTTATCACTACTGGTTCCGACACCACCCCTGGTAACAGTCGCTGGCATTTATCAAGTACCCGCTGAGCTTCATCTTCCCGGTCATCCCTGAGTGGGGCTCCATTAGGAAACCCATTTCACAGATGAGGACACTGAAACTTTGAAAAATTATGTATCTTGCGCAAGGCCAGTAAGAAAGGAGCCAGGATGGGAGCTCAGGCTGCCTGACCCGTGGTTTATGTCTCCATCAACCACTCTGCTCTGCCCCTCTCTCTCGCTCTGGTACAGATAAGAGAATAACAGGGACAAGAGACAGGGTGTCCTGGTCCAAGTCCCATCCCGTGGAGATGTTACAGAGGTGGGGTGATGAGAGCGAGAAGCAGTGACCTCGGGGACTGCCAGACGCCACTCCTGAGCCATCACTAGGGTGCAGTACCTGCTGTACTGGAAAGAGGAGAGCAGGCCAGGGCAGGGTAGCTGTGCCCAATTTGGCCCTGGGTTAGTGGAGCAATCCAGGCTGAGGTGTCTTAGCAGCGGCCTGACCCCACATGTGTGCTGAGCCAGCACTGGGCAGATTCAGAAACTACTGAGTGTGTAATCCCCAGGAGGCTGAGCTCCTTAGCAAGCCGGTGCACCCACTTCCAAGTCAGAGTCCCCTGGGGTTACCGGGGAGTCCCCTAGGCTTCCTGCCAGCCACGTAGCAACTAGCAGCAGCTCCCGGCCACCCTTCTCTCTGCAAGCCCCTGTCCACAGGAAGCCTCCTTTCTCTAAGTTGCACACACACAGGTGTCACACAGGGCTTTTTGATTCGACTTCACCAACTGCGTGTGGGCCGTAGCACTTAACATCTAGAACACTTTTCCTGAAGTGTCACACATGTAGTATTCATCTTCCAGGACATGGCAAACAAAAACAGGATCTGCAGACCGGAAGATAACCTGTCCTGTGTCACAGAATTAGAATGAGGGTCCACAGAGTTGGGGTGGGGATGTCAATGCCAGAAAAGTGACAGGACATTTCCACTGCGCTGAGCCGGGTTGTTAGGGCAAAAGGGGAAGATTCCCTCGGGTGCGTGTCATGTAGTGGCCTGCAGGCAGCCGAGCGTACAAAAACAAAACTGAGCTCACACCTTTACCCAGACCAGGAGAGACTAAGAGCGGGGTCTAGATCCACACGGAGTGTAGATAAGCCCATGTGGCACACACATGTACTTCTGACAACAGAAAGGCACCTACAATCACGGGATTCAATAAAGCAGCAGGCTCTGCAGGAGAGCAGGTGGAAGGAACAGCGAGCAAGCAACCACCAAGGGATCCATACAGCGCAGGCGCACTTCCACTTCCACTCCAGAGGACCTGCCCAGGGTTACAGAGCCAGAGAGCTATGAACCCAGAATCTGAATTCTAATCTCATTCCCAACTCGCGTTCTTAACTGTTCCTCTGCGTCTGCCTCCATATAGTGAAAGACAGCCAGTCCCTTTTTCAAGCTGTTTTCTTATATAGTCCAGTAAGGTCCACAGGGAAACCCTACTCTTTACTCCTTAGGAAACTTGTTCTCATAGCTCCTTCCAGAATGAGAACCGGGTTCCCCAGAAGCCCCAGCAGTTCATCAGCATTTCTAGGTCTTCTGCACATCCACTGTCCTCCAACCCCACCAGCGAGGAAAGGATCTCAGGGAGGAACAGGCTTTTGAGGAACTCACAGGCCTCCTGGGTGCCACGTGTCAGGCTCACAGCCACAGCAGGCCGTGGGGAGCCACAACTCACCTGGGATGTGCTTGGCCCAGCCGATGATGACCACAAGCTCCCGGTCCACTAGGTCACACAGAGTGGTCAGCGCCTTGATGTCCCCCTCAGGCATGCCGGCAGGAGGCATGGCATACAGCTTGTCTGGCTCAGCCACCAGTAGGTATGAGACAATCTTGGTCACTGCAGTGAACAGAGAGAAAGGTAAATGCTGGGAGAAAGAGGGACCTAGCAGGGTGGAAGAAAGATAAGGTTCCGAAGAGCCCCAGGATGGTTATCTCTCCCGCCCCACTTGACTCCATGAAGCTGCAGGAGGCAATGATCTGGGCTGCTGGGAGAGTCCCTCCAAGAGAATTCGCTGGACCAGTCTTCCTGAGAGAAACCTTAAGGGTAACTTGGAGGGGGGCTGAGAGGAGCAGCCTATTGCTGCTGAGTGGGCCCCGTGGCTTCTTAGGGCCATGCTTCACATGGAATCGCCGTCTGTGTCAGCCACGTGGACAGGCCTTCTGTGTGACGCTGGCAACCATGCCCATCACTGGTGTCCCCTCCCAAGATCCACACTGTCCCACAACCCGGTGGTGGGGCAGTGGCATTTCCCTGCAGGAAATTCTGTTCCAGGTACAGAATCTGGGAGTGGAGTGTACACTGCCTGGGTACGCACATGGCTTTTTAGCAGGTGGAGAAATCTGTAAGCTCAGGTATGGGCTGCTTTCTGAGTCCAGTCGTCGCTTGTATTTCTGGCGGCCCCCACGCACTCGGTCAAGGCGCACACCTGTTACAGAGAAAGGGGAAATGGTGTCAGGAGCTGCCAACATCTCTAGGGGTGGTAGTGCCGACTTCGGAATTTCAGCCTGGCTAAGCCTGTCAGGGTCATCCCTGCATGGCCAGCCCGAGGCCAGGGGGCTGGAAAATCTTGAAACAACCCCCTCAGAGGTTTGCTCCTGCCTCTTTGGACTCAGTATCCTCTCGAAACCCATCTCCTTGAGTCATTATGTCTCCAAAAGCAAAAATAGCAAAGCCTTCTCCCAAGCACTGGGGGAGAAGTCTGTGTGTGTGTGTGTGTGTGTGTGTGTGTGTGTGTGTGTGTGTGTGTGTGTTCAGTCAACCTGGAGTCCAGGAAGGGAGAAAGTCCATTTGTACAGAGCCCCTGCATGGGTGGCCACTGCCCAAGGGAGGAACCAGCCCCTTCAGACTTCGAGTCTCAGCCACTAAGATTTGGAACAGGGCTCTTGCATCTGTTTCATGGAGTCCTCCAGGCTGGGGATACAGGTGGGCCTGACCACCATGGGGAATTCCACACTGACATTCATTTCTGGGAGTGAGGGCCTTGCTACTGTCCTTGCTGGAGCCAGCCCTGTTTCTGCCACTGTGCCCCCGAGGCCTTCCAGAAGCCAGCCCCACCCACAGCTCGGGCTGCCGAGCAGAGCCCACACACACACACACAGATCGAGGACATAGGTACAGGTGGGCACCTTGCCAAGAGCACACACGCTCCCACTGGCCACCAACTGATGTGAACTAACATTGAGGGAGCCAGTGGGAGCAACCGAGCAGCAAAATGGGCAGTGGACAGGAGGGTAGCACTGGGGCCCCTGCTGGCTTGGGATCCACTTCCACTTCCATGCCCTACCCTCTACTCTCCTGGGCCAGCCTTAAAGCTAGGCCAGATCTTGGATTCCTGGACCCAAGCTACAGTGAACAAACACCTCTGACCATGAAGTGGGCCTTGATCTAACATTAAGTCTGGGATGGGTTTGGTGGCACACACCTGTAATCCCAGCACTCAAAGAGGCTGAGGCAGGAGGATCACAGAGAGTTTGAGGCCAGCCTGGGCTACTTAATGAGTTCAAGAACAGTCTGAACTACCAAATGAGACTCTGTCTCAAAAAGCAAATGAAAAAGTGAGAGGCAGAAACAAGAGTTCTCAGAAAGCAGAGCTGCTGCCTCAGCCTGCTGGACCAAGGTCAACCTCTGCTTGTTCCCCCAAGGTCAAGAGTATAGCCCCCAGAGAGCATATCAACAGAGGAGGGTACAGTGTGACTAGGGGCAGGGAGGCCAAGTCCTGGTTACAGCACCTCCTGCTCCAGGTGCTCTAGGCTCTCTCTGGCACTAAATATGGTCCTTGAAAAAATAAAAATAAAAATAAAAATAAATAAAATAAAATAAATATGGTCCTTGAACCTTTGAGGTCAGAAATGGTCATCAGAGAGCAAACTGTGTGTCAAGGATGTCACAGGCATTTCAGAGAGGGAAGGAAGCACCTGGGGCCCACAGCACTGGGCCTCTGCAGTCAGGGAAGCCATGGAAGCCACATGGGCACACACAGGAAGAGAGCATCCCAGGCAGTCTCCAATGCTTTTCTTCTCAAAGTGCGGCCTGGACACCTAACCATCTCTGCCCAGGGAAGCAGAATCAGGCCCTGGCAAGGGCAGTGGCTTGCACTGTGCAATCCAGGAAACACTGCACTAGGGCACCCCAGCGGCACCCTGAGCTTGTGGGGCAGCTGAATCCCACCTGGCACAGATCCAGCCCTACAGCTCAGCTTTGCCCCTACCCCCAAGCCCCTCAGGGAGGGCAAGAGAAGCAGATTCACAAACACAGGAAGGAGTGCACACACGCATGCACACACATACACACCTTGGAGAAGTTACTCATGTAGGAGTTTCTGCCCTCACCCTGTGACACAACTACATAGAAGACCCTGCACACCACACCGAAGTCCCCACCCTATCTCAGCTTTAGTCCCCCCAAAATGATGACAAGACCAAGATGAACATCCAAGCCTATTCCATGAAGGCCAGCAAGGATCCCCACTTACTGAGCCATTTATCAAGAGCCCTGTCCCCACCAGCCAGCCTCACCCAGGTATCTGTCAGCCAGAGAGAGAACAGCTCATCAAAAAATAAAAACAAGCCAGCTACGCCCAAAATCCAAGACTCCTAGGGGGCTGAGGAAAGAGGACCAAAAGTTTCAGCTCAGATCAGCAAACTTAAAAAAAAACCTTTGTCTCAAAAAAATTTTTTAAAGAGCTGTGGATGTAGTAGCTCAGTGTAAAGGCTCTGGGTTCAATCTAAATAATAAACAAACAAATAAACACAACCATGCATTGCTCAACAAAGTAAGAAAATGGGCAGTTGCCAACTTTGTCCATGACACCTTCTGGAATGTTCTCTGACCCAATACAGGGCCAGAGCCTTAGTGACAAATACAGGACCGGATACGCCTCCTTTCTTTCCAGCTGCACACAGGCTGGCGCTGCTTCAGGAGCTCCTGGGCTTCCCCTAGGGACTAGGGGCCCTGAAGGCCTGTAGGAGCTGCTCCGGTACCTGGTACCCACTAGGAATTAGTGCTGTTCATATCCTAAGGCTTTCTGAGTAAGCCATGTGAACAATAATACTAAGGCCCCACAATGAAGTATTCATCTTGTACTGCAAACATTTCCAGTAAAACTGCCTAAACCAGTGATAGCATAATCCACAGGACGGAGGGACACATCACCTTGTTTAACCCACAGGAGAGAACACAGGGTTCTGTCCTTCATTTTACAAACACAAACACAGGCTCGGACAGATTTCAGGGACTTGCATCATCAGAGTCTGTACGGAAGTTCCATGCCATCCCAGTGCATGACCTTCCAAGGGAAGGCAAAGATAAACTCTCCTCTAAATTTCCTTCTCCAGATCTTTACAGCTTAGTGGTCAATGGCACTGATCAATAAATGTATCAATTATCAGCTTATTTTGTTTGAAAAAAACAAAGCACCTATTGGGTTTCATCACGCGCAACTGAAGCCTGATGTGCAGCATCTGCCCTCCCCAGCCCCACCTGGCCACGTCCCCTAATCGCCAGCCCAGGGGACCAAGATGGGGTCCAGGCCAGTGGGGGAGGGGAGGCTGTTCAGGCCTTGCTGAGCTGGCGTCCGGTCTCAGTTGCGCCTTCATGCATGACGAGGAAGCACGTTTGTAGGGTTCGTGGCAGGACAGCTCTAGCGGGCCTGCCTGGGCCTTGGCACTTACCCAGCATTGGCTCCCCAGGCCACCTCGGGCTCTTTCTCTCCATGCCCTTGGGCTGTCAACTCATTGGTTCTTAGGGACATGGCTGGGAAGGCTACATTTCATCCATCCCCATCCCATAGTCAAGGATTGCCCATTATCACTGAGGG